CGCTCTTCCTCAGGTATGGTTCATTGTCTCTCTTCTTTTTTGTCTTATAATCTTTTCACTCCTAAACATCTCGCCTTCCTTTCTGCACTCTCCCATCACCCTGATCCCACCTCCTATTCTGAAGCTGCCTGTCACCCTCACTGGCGTGATGCCATGGTAGCTGAAATACAAGCCTTAGAAGCCAACCATACTTGGACCCTTCAACCCCTTCCATCTGGCAAAACCCCAATTGGTTGTAAGTGGGTGTTCAAAACAAAGTTTTGGGCTGATGGTTCCATAGAGAGACACAAAGCTCGCATATTGGCCAAGGGATATGCTCAGGTAGAAGGTTTGGATTATCATGACACTTTTGCTCCCGTTGTTAAACTCGTTACTGTTAGATGTGTTCTTGCAGTAGCTGCAGCTCGTCATTGGCATCTTTTTCAGTTGGACGTTCACAATGCATTCCTCCATGGCGACCTTGATGAAGATGTTTTTATGACTCCTCCACCAGGCTATTTTCAAACAAACAGATGCCCGTGTTTGTCATCTTCAGAAATCACTCTATGGCCTCAAACAAGCCTCTCGCAATTGGTTCTCTAAATTATCATCTATTTTACTTATTGCAGGTTTCACCCAGTCCCAGGCGGATCACTCTCTCTTCACTCGCCATCGGGGATAGTCCTTCACTCTCCTACTTATTTATGTTGATGACATTCTCTTGGTAGGAAATGATCTCTTTAACATCAATAACTTCAAAGCCATACTTGCTCAACGCTTTAAGCTTAAGGACCTAAGCCAACTTAAATATTTCCTTGGCCTTGAAATTGCTCGCTCTCCTATTGGCATTTTCCTCACTCAACGCAAATATGCCCTTGACATACTTGCTGATAGCGGTCACCTTGGTGCACGTCCCTCTTCTTTTCCAATGGAACAACATCTCAAACTCAATAATACTAATGGTGATCTGCTGCATGATCCCAGTTCTTTCCGTCGTCTTGTTGGCCATTTGATATATCTCACGATCTCTCGTTCTGACATTGTGTTCCCTATCAATCTTTTAAATCAGTCCATGCACCAACCCCGACAATCACATTATAATGCTGTTGTCCGTGTTCTCCATTACCTCAAAGCTTCTCCAGGCCAAGGCTTATATTTTCCTTCTATTAACACTCTTTAAGTGTCAGCTTATTCAGATTCGGACTAGGCTAGTTATCCGCTCACTCGTCGTTCAACCACCGGTTTTTTTATTCAGCTTGGCACCAATCCTATTTCCTAGCGCACTAAGAAACAACATACGGTCTCTCGTTCATCTGCTGAAGCTGAATACCGTGCTCTTGCTTCCACCACTTGTGAACTTACATGGCTCAAAACACTTTTACATGATCTTGGTGTCCATCACTCCCAGCCTATGTTTTTACATTGTGATAACCAAGCAGCTCTTCACATTGCTCAGAATCCTGTCTTTCACGAATGTACCAAACACATAAAAATTGATTGTCATGTGGTCCGTGAAAAGCTCAAAGTCGGCCTTATCTCCACCCAGCACGTCCCTAGTCACAGTCAACTGGCAGATATATTCATAAAAGCTTTAGGTCGTGAAGCTTTTCAGGCATTATCACGCAAGTTGGGCATTAAGGATCTCCATGCTCCAACTTGAGGGGGAGTATTAGCAATATATATTCACTTTCCATCTATATATTATTGTACAGTTATTAGCATATATATTTCGGCTTGATCCTTGGAATCATTAGCAGATATTCAACAATTGTTAGCTGAGATATAGGATCGTGTTTTCCTTCCTCATGTAATATATACTACTGTAACTGTAGAATAAAATATATAGAGCAGAACAATTCTCTTCTTCTTACAATTATTGATATAGTTTTAGATGACAAGGAAGTTAAACTAAGATTTATAACTTTAAATATCAGCACAAGATTTAGAAGTAACTAGATTGATGTTTGTATTACGCTATGGATCCGTATTATTTTTTAGTAAAATATTTTAAGTGTTGCTAATGCATTTAAAAAAATAAGAGAAATATGATAATTTAGATTTAAATTCCAACCAATTAAATAATTTGGTTTTATTTGAATTATATGAGAAAAGGTTTTTTTTAAAAAAAAGAGGCAACAATAGTAATTGGACAAATATATATAAAAAAAATCAATGATGACCAAAATAAAAATAATAATAATAATAATAATACACTATATATCAACTTGGATTGAAGAATAAAGTTAAAAACAATAAAACTTTCATAAAAGATCAAATTGAAAACATAAATGAAAAAATTAAAAGACTAATATAAATTAAGATATTTAATGTTGTAACATGGGCTATTAATTAGGTTGTATTTAATAAATTTATTTATGAAAATCAATTTGTATTAAAGATTGACAACCATATAGAATTTATTAAAAAAATAAAAGAAAAAAAATATTATGCAAGGTTTGCACATATTAAAAACAGTAGAAAATAAATATTTAATCTATATAAAATATACAAAATATATATATGTGTGTGTGTGAATCATACTAACCTATGCAAAAAAATAAACACGCCAATATAATTAAAAAATAATTGTTATTCAACAAAGGCTAAAAAACTCAAAATAACCATAGAGAAGTGATATTATTAAAATATAAATTTAAAAATCATTTAAAAAACACATAAAAAAGCATTTATATTAAGTAATTAAAAAAAAAGTAGTGAGGCCAAGTGCTACTAGACCTAGTAAGCTAGACCTAACGCCTAGCCAAATCAAGAAAGGCTTGTGTGCATGCGAGCCTGCAATTCCAGACCCACTCGCGTGAGCTTTTAATTTCTTTTAAGTTTTATAAAATGTATGATGCGTTGTCTTAAAATCTCAAAATCTGACTACTAGCGTAGCTAGAAAAACAGGATTTTTTAATCTAAAAACTTTGAAGGAACCTTACTAAACCATTTCATGACCTCTTAAACATAAAAAAAAATAACCCGAAACCTAAAATTAAAAATTATTTTAGGCTCAAATCTATTTATTTATGTGTTTTCAAGGGACAAAACACATAATCTTAACCTCCTCTCATTATATGAAACCTTTTAAAGCAAAAATCAATTGTTTTAGAGGTTGAAATATTCCCCGACAATAACTTTCTTTCTCTAACTTAGAATTCAGCGACTCCTTCTCTTTTCTGTCCAAAAAAACTAAAAAGAGAAAAATAAAATTTGATATTAAAATATATTTTTAAAAAATTATAAGGACTGGCCACCTAATGGTTAAAAAAATTAAGAGGTGAAAATGAATTTTGGAAACAATTTTGTATCTTCCGTCTATGTTACCTATATTTTTCATTTCAGTTATCTTTGCTTTCAATTAAATTCTTCCTCCTAAAAAAACATGCAATTACAATTCATCCATAGGAATTGTGAAAGCATGAACAGTAAAATGTTTGCAGTGCTTTATCCACGATCTTTAGTTTTTGTTTATTAATAATTAGGGCTTGAATGTGGTTGTTGTCTATTCGATCTTGAACTTTAGAATGGAATCCTGATTTAAGATGCGAAGTCTAAGTCTGAGAATTGATTCATAGGACTGATATGGATTCAGATATTTGGTGTTTGGTTAGATCTGAGAGTAAAATATGATCAGAATGCAAATAAAAGAAGATGGTAATCTGATTGCTTAATCCTTTGTTATTAGCTAATTGATTGTTATCAATAACCATTCCTATTGTGGTTGTCTACATCAATAGACCATACTGTTTAGAAATATCAGTTTCATTAATCATATATATTGCTTAGAGCATGAGAGGATTACAATGTAAATTTTAATATTACTTGAATATTGGTTTGAATATCAAAAAAATAAAAGCCTGATTTTTTTATAATAATTAAGAAAAAAATATTAATAAGATTCAGTTAGTGCCGTTGTTAAAAAAATAATGAAAAATAAACAAGAGGCGTAGAAAGAGTTCTTCACGAGCAAAAACGACAAAAGAAGTGAATAGGAAAAAAAAATTAATGCATACAATTAGTTTTCCGTAGTCTAAAAGTACACCTAGCATTCACCGCCACTTGCAAACCCTAATTAAGCTGAACCACGCATCAGTGTTTCCTAATTACTCCAAATATTTCTATATAGGATTTTGCATTTATTGTCTTCAAAATTTCTTAACTTATTTGTTGTTATTTTCCTGTTCAGCAAAGCAAGCATCGAATTACCTTAGCTAGCATTAAGAGAAAATTAAACCTAATGAGCAGTCATTAAAGAAAATCTCGCAGGTAAAATCAAGATTTGTCGCCACATATATATATATATATATTCCATGCTTTGGGTTCCTTCAACAAATTAAGTTAGCAATATTCTCCAAAAAAAACCTAGCTCGTTCATTATCTTCTTCTTCAATTCAAGGCTTTCTCTACGTCTGTTGAGGTTAGTGTCTGCTGTTATATAAATTATTTCTCAGGTTCGAAATCATACACATGCATATTAGTTAGTCCGAGCAGTAATTAAAATTAATAAAATCATTTCATCAGACTTCTACTAATCAGTATCGTACGTAGATGGGTATGCCTTATTTTCATTTAAAAAAAAACAAAAAAAAAAAAAAAAGATGGGCATGCCTTGAATCTAAACCATAGGATTTATGGCTGTATAAAATCCATACACATCTAAAAGCATGCCTTCAGCATTGTGATGACTACAAATTAAAGAGCACTAGAAAGTTGTGGATCTGGTTTTTAATTATAGATATAAATCAGGTCCTGGGTCATTGCTTTTCTTCTTCTTCTTCTTTTCATTACAAAGGAGAGAGGCTGAAACTCTTCGGGGAGGACGACACTAATAGCGATTGAGCTACAACTTTTGATACTTGTTACAAACATACAATATGACATATGATCATGCTCGCATTCACATGGAGAAATGTGTGTTCTCCCTTCTGGGGTTAAACCTTTTTTATAAATTAATTATATCATAATCTCTTCAAAGTTCAAACCTGTACAATAACTCGGTCTCAGCTTAATCAATACTTGTTATTTCTTGTGTATATCGTTTTCACAGTTATGGATTCAAAAAAAAATGAAGCTCCCGACGGCAAAACGAAGGGGCGCTTCTGTTTGTTAGCATCTGGTGCGCTCATTTTCGTTGGCATCGCAATCTTGCTTTATTTTACCCAATTTCAGCCCCATAAGCCACGGTTTATCATTCAGGACGCTACTGTCTACGGCTTGAATTTTTCAAACCCAAACTTGCTAACTTGTAGCATGCAGGTCACTTTATCTACGAGAAACCCTAATGGCCATATTGGGATATACTATGAAAAGCTTGATGTACATGCTATCTATCAACACCAACGGATAACCCAAGCAACTGCGCTGCCTAGGACTTACCTAGATCACGAAGAGGTCTCTGTGTGGTCTCCGTTTTTGTACGGTAAAGATGTACCGATTTCTCCACTCGTGGCTGCTGGATTGATGGAAGACTTGAAATCTGGCTGTGTGTCACTCGATATCAAGGTTAATGGAAGGCTGAAATGGAAGCTTGGCTCGTCGATGATTGGCAAATATCAATTGATCGCGAATTGCCCAGCTTATATTCCTCTTGGAAACCCAAGTAAAATGGAGTCAGCAGTCAAGTATGAATTTGTGCAGCTTTGTAAAGTGAAAGTTGAGTAACTGAGCAAGGCCAGTATTTAACTAAATTCAGCTGATGCTACCTTGCTAGGGTTTTTTTGGGGCACAAATATTAATAGCTAGGAAGTTTATTTTGTGTGATTTTGAGTTTAATCAGGGTTAAATCCAAGTGCATTAAAAAAAATATGTTCGGTTAATATATACATTTTTATATATTTTGGGGTAATTTGAGCTTTAATTTGTTATTAATGATTTTATATGAGATAGTTCAGTGAAGATTTTACCTTTAAATCTATAATAGAATCTGATTCTATATGATCATGTTTTATAAATTATGTTCGATTAATGCACGCATTTCATCATATATGAGAGCGGAGATTATACTGCTATAGTGCATGGTTTTTGTCCCTTTTTCTTTTGTGCTTGAAAAATTATACAGTTATGGTCCTTGGATTTTTTTTTCTTCATAATTTCATCCTCATCCTATATTATGTTGACACATACTAAATTTTATAATTTGTTTTAATTTACATGCTCTTGCGGTAAGAAACATCTTAGCATTAAATTAAAGTTTGATTTTATAAAATAAAATTTAAGTTTATAATTAAAAAAATATTGAAATAATAAGAACGAAGGTAACGCTTCAAAAATCTAGACCTTTTGGTTTTCATTACATGTGGGGTGCATATAACTACAATTTGGTCATTAAAGTTTTTAGTTTTTATGTTTGGCACCTTTTTTAGGATTTTTCATTTCAATCCTAAACTTTTTTTTCTTTCCATTCTCTTTATGTTAATAGAGAGGAGCGGAAGTGATTGAAAAAAGAAAAGGAGGAAAGGAAGTATTTGGTTAGTAATATTCCATCAACAAAAAAAAAATTAATTTCAGTATCAATGAATTTGTTTCAGAGAGAGAGTTGAATGGAGATAATGTTTCCCTTTGAATATGTAATAAAAACTAAATCAGGACTTACAAAGTTGTTTTTAGTTTATTGAATTTTTGGGTTTTTAGAGTGATTGTAGATTTTATTTTAGATTGAAAATAGGTTTATTGATGTTCTTAAGATTATTTTTTTATGTGTGTTTTCAAGTATTAAAAAAAAAAGGCTAAAAATTAGGGTTCTAGGTATATAGGCAACCATCTTATGGTGTATTTGAGGGTCCTGGCAAGAAATTCTCTTCTTTTGCGTCCAGGTTTGATTCTCTATGTATATGTTTCTTATCTCTGTGATACCTTACTCATTTACTGGACTTGCACGGTGTTCAGTGGATCCGAGAATTAATTATGATGCGTGTAAATTGGTTCGAATATGATGAATTATCAAAAAAAAAATATAAAGTTGATGACATATTATTTGCTTGTTCAACCCGTACGGTTTGGATTTTTTTTCTAGGGCCAAATATATATGGTTTTTGTGTTAGATATCGCTTTAATTTTATTTTTATTTTTTGTAAAGCTTTTAATAAAATTCTGTTCAAATCATTTTATTAAAATAATATTTAAAGGATTATCTTATTATATTATTGTTTTAAAGAAGATTACAGCTTTTTATAAAGATATTAACAATTGCTTTATGAATAATTATGTATTCATCTAATATACAGAATTTCTAAATTAATTTTCTCATTAATATTAAGTAAGAATAAAATATCTATTTTTTATTTATTTTTTTGTAAATTTCTTGCATGTTTTCTCTAATTTATTGGTCTTATATTTTTTTTCATGTAAGTGTATAAAAATGATTGGTTTATGAGTTTCTTATTTTTAAATTGAAACTTGCTCTCATGATCTTAAAAAAAAAATATTTGAAAAACAATGTTTTTTATTAAAAAAATACATGAATAAGAAATATTTTTTTTTTTTATTCAAATCATTATAATTTTTTCAAAAGAAAAATTTATTGCTTAGTTTTATTCAATAAATAATAATGCTAATAAAAAATTATTTTTTACTGTCAACAAAAAAATTATAGCGAATATTCTTCATAATTTTAGTCGTCAGGGAGACGACAATATCGCTAAGCATTATAAATAATTTCTATATAACTATCATATATTTTCAATACTTGTAATCCCTCTATTACCAAAAAAAATCCTAATTTTTTGAAACTTCATCTATTAACACTTAACCTCCATTGTTTAACGCAAAATTAAACACCATCAAAGGTTTTGGATTGGTTGTAATGCACTTGATTAATTTAAACTCTATTAGGCACATTATAAATATCTGAAGATATTTTTTAATTACTTGGAAAACGTCGCTCTTCATAAAAATTGATCGTTATAGTTGCCCATCATTGTCACTAATGAAAATTCTTAAAAAATCGTTTCGGATGAAAACAATTCCGCCGATGGCTGTTCCATGCGAGACAGGTCGAGACCGAGGATAGCAAATTACAAGCTCTTCTCAGCTTCCAACCGCTCGCTCTCTTTCTGGAAGAGTTCCATTTCTTGAACCAGTTTGCTCAGTTTTTCAGTATCCTTGTCCTGAATCTCAAGAGGTACTTTCTCCTTATAGCCTGCTGCATTAATCTTCTTCTCCAATCTCTCCTGTTGTCTGGTGAAAATATTTAATGCAAGTAAATGAAAATATGCTTTACATATATATGGCGCGTTTTGTTTAGAAGTTTTAGACTTACTTTTGTATCTCATCGATTTTGTATCTCATCTTCACGAGCTCTACTTCTGCATTAACTTTTTCTCCAGCCTTGAGATAGACTGCAAGATTCTCGTTAACATTCTCAAATGCACATCCAGCTGGGGGGGCATCTTCCCCGCTCAACAGAACCTTCAGAATGATTTTATCTCAAAAATTATTATTTGAGCAAAGGATTAACATAAGAGAAAAAAATGCAACGTTCTCAAAAGTTGTAGCTCTGAAAAAATTGAATGAATTACAAACGACTCAGCGGGGTGTAAACAATGATGTTAAAAACCTGAAGGTCATATAAACCTGTTTAACTAACTCTAAGTACCAAGAGATTATATTAATATCTGGAACTGGAACACTTTGTGCCTTAATTAACTAACTCCGATTTCTTCATTTCTTCTCACCTGGATAATCTGAACATGACACCTTTACATATAAAGATAAGAGGAAGGAAAAGGGAAGGGAGGCCAGGAGTAGGTTTTCAGGGAGGGGAGTGGAGGAGCTGCCACTCTTGAAATGATCAGCACCGTCCGGTGTCCTTTGCATTCAATTCTAAACTCTGCTAAAACCAAAGGCAATAGCAGATACTTGATACTTGAATAATTTCCATCAGCAACACTAAATTTTAACACCAGCAAAATCCTTCAGAAAGGAAATTTTGGCGCGCATAACTGTTGTGTGCCAAGGGCTCACTAGTAATTTAAAGACTTGCAAGATATCTGTTAAAGTTGATAAGATGATGGCACGCATGTTAGGTCTACTCCTATGTTAAACCAACAGTGGCAGGGTGGCGACAAATCTTGATTTTACCTGCGAGATCTGGACGGTGCCTTTTGAGTTGGCAGTCTATCTTTCAAAGCCCATCTATAGCAAATGTGATAGAATACCTGAATAGATGACAAATTTTTTGCAAGGGTTAAGATCTCGAAGTTGTGGCTTGTAAGGATGTCTGCAACTGCTCTCATTTTGCAAAATGCAAAAGCTGGTAGCCTGGGAAAAGAAATGGATTGTTACGGAACATACGAATCATTTTTAAATACAGTAAAAAAACATCTTAAGACACTGTCAAACACATGTTCCCTTGGAAAAAGTACTTCATCACACTCTACAATCGTCTTTTTTCCTATTTTGTTCATTCAACTCTACTACATCCCACTCCACCAGTCTACATTTGGAGTGAGTATAGAAATTAATTCAAAAGCATCATATTTTATAGATTCTTAAACATTTGTGACAAGGTCTAACATGACTCATCTTGGATGTAATCACGAAGCAACACTTAACCATGCAAACAAACTGATGTAGTTGAGTTTGCGATAACGGGTAATTTTGAGCAATCAGGTATGGATTTATCATAATTAGATGAGAATTTGCTCCGGATAGATTACATGGATGGCCTAACAGATACATTTATAAACCAGAAAGCCTAGATATAATAACTTTTGATTCTACTATTGGATCACGCTAAAATTTTTACATGAGTTTTTTTAGATTGTTTTCCCTAAAGTAGCATGTAATCACTACTTTAACCGTCGAATCTTTAAATTTTGAAAATTTCATGTCAGAGCCCTAGTTTTAGTAGTTTTAATGATTTTCCTTGTTGTTTTTTTATTTCATATTTCTTTCTTTCATAATTTCAAATTTTTAATTTGTTTTTTAATTAAGATAAGATTTCTAATCTATTTAAAGCTTTATAAACCTCTTGAAGAATTATTATTCTACATAAAATAAAACTTACCAATTTAGAATTGATATTTGTATCGCTTTTTTCTCATTAAAATTAAAGTGTTCTAGTTTCCGTCTACATCACAAACTAACCAACCAAGACTGCTATATGGAAACACAATCAGAAAACTTGTATTGAACTAATGCACATAATTAAGCTAGCAAGCAAACAAAACAAAAATCCAATGTATACCTGTCATTTTTTCGGTACTCAAACACCTCAGCCCTCAACGACCTTAGACATTTAACAGTAGATTCAATAAGGTCCATTTCATATTCCACCTCTTCATTTTTCCAGGCCTGTAAAGTGAAATGAGGATTGATCATCACTGATAACTGAATAAACCTTGAGCTAAACTATGTTGTTAATTAGTCGCAAATCTATCATCGTCATTACCAACAGCTAGTGTGCTCTTTGAACTTACATCTGCAGCTGATGGGTACTCAGATGTCACAATCGACTCTTTCCTTGTATGGCCACTGACAGGAGGAAGGCGTTGCCACAATTCTTCAGTAACAAATGGCATAAATGGATGAAGCAATCTCAGTCCATTATCCAAACATACCCAAAGAGTATCTTGTGCAGAACTCCTCTCAAAGGCAAATGCTGGATCATCCCCAGCAAAGTAGGGTTTAATTGCTTCAATGAAAACGTCACAGAACTGATA